CCCGTGTTTCCCCCTCGTGTCCTACAGCACCGGGAAACGGGGCCGGTCCAGCCCCAGATCCCTGGACACCGGGAGCCGAGCCAGAGCCGTGCCGGTGGCTTTGGGTGTTGCCGGTGCCAGCACGGAGAGGAGGCGCAGGGCGGGATCAGCGGGATTTTATTACAATGGGAGTTAAATACCCACGATCAACACATCCTCCCGCCCGGACATCAAAGCCGAGAGGGATGGAGACCCCGACAGATCTGTCTGTCACAGCACGGTGACAACAAACCATGCTGGTGCCACCAAGCCCCGTGTCCTGTCCCTATTCTCGCCCTCACTCCACCGCAGGCGAGCGCCCGGCCCTCGGATTTGTGTCCTTGTCACCCTTCGCTGGGGCTGTGGCACCGGTGGCCGAGTCCCAAGGGGACGGAAGGAATCGGAATCCTGTCCCTTTCCGTGGGGACATGAGGAGCAGATCCCAGGGAGCGGCAGGATGGGAGGGAAAGGCGGCGGTGCTGGAACCCGCGGCGGGAACCGGGACACGGAGGGCTGGGAGCAGCAGGTCCGGGAGGAGGGGGGAGAGGAGGGGTCCAGGATCCCGCCGGGAGGTGACATCGCTGGGATGGTCGGGAGCGTCTGGAGGAGGGAAAGGGGAGCTGGAGACGCCGGCAGGGAAGGGGATGGGGTCTGCAGCAGGAAGGAGGGAGCGGGGATGGCAGAGATGGATGTGAGGAAGACACAAAATCCAGAGCCTGGAGCAACACGGACCCCCAAGGAATGCAGACCCTCGAACAACACAGACCCTCAAGCACTTCAGACCCCAAAAAATGCAGACCCCAGAGCACCAGGGGCCCCCAGACATTGCAGACCCCCAAATACTGCAGACCCTCAAAGAACACCCTCAGCACTGCAGACCTGAGATCACCAAACCCAGCACCCCAAATCCCAAATCCTAAAGCACTGGAGCCCCCCAAGCAGGAGATGACACTGGGATCCCCTAGGGCTCTGTGTCCCAGCAGTGGGGGTCCCAACACTTACAGACCCCTGCCCCAGGAGCTATTTCATGTTCAGCCCAACCGAGAGTCCAATGATGAGGGCAACTGTCCCCAGCAAGAGCACGGCCACTGCCACCAAAATCAGCAGCTTCTGGGGGAACAGGGGCGAGTCGGGGCTGGTGACACCTGTCCTGTAGGGGGGGACATGGGGGCACCGAGGGGCTCTGGAGAGCCAGAGGTGCTGCAGAGCCCTGGGGATGGGGCAGGAGGGGCTGAGTCCTCACCAGCTCATCACACCTGAGGGTGGGAGGGGGTGCAGGGGTGGCAGTGGGACAGAGAGGGACAGAGCTGCCATGGGGTCACTGCGGGGAGGTGGGAGCCACTGGGGTCAGCTGGGGGATATGAGGGGTGGCTGAGGTGACAGGAGGTGACTGAGGGAAATAAGGGAATCTCAGGGCTGCTGGGGAGGTGCTGGGAACACTGTGAGATGTGAAGGCACAATGAGGGCCAGAGGAGAACACTGGGGGTACCTCTGGGATGCTAGGGGCTACAGAGGGGACATTGGGGGGCTACAATGGGGACACTGGGAGCTATGGAGGGGACAAGGGGGCTGTTGGTCTGTCTCACCCTCCTGGCCTCACTTTGGTACTTCACAGCCTTTTTGGTGTCAGCCACGGCCCGTTCCACGAACCCAACGGACTGGTCCATGTTGTTCTCTATGCGGTCGATCATGGCTCCCTAGGGAGCACCCGGGGGACACAGAGAGAGGGGGGGACACTGAGAGCACCCCGGGGTGCTGGCACCCACCCACCTGGCGCGCCTGGCCCCGGCACCAGATCGTCTCTGTGCTCTGCTCCACATGCTCGGCTCCGCGCTATCCAGCAGCCCTCCCTGGGGGAGAAGGGACAGGGTTGGTGGGGGCACAGTGACACAGCCCCACAGCACGTGGCACGCCCGCACACACAGGTACTCACCCATCCCCAGGGCACGCAGCAGCTCCTCACGTGGCATGGGGGACAGAGAGGGGCTGAGAGAGGAGACGGCACCACCACAGGGCGGGGGACGCTCCTGTGTCCCCTCTCCCGGCCACCGTGGGGTGGTGGGTGGCTCCGTGGGAACACGTGCAGTGGTAACCACCCCAGCCCATATCGCTCCATGCCTGGACCCCCTGTGTGGGTCCCTGGGCCACTCCACAGTCCCGTGCAGGTCCCTGTGACCCTACGCTCAGGTCCCTGTTTGTCCCTGGTCACCCTATGCATAGGTCCCTGCTCGTCCCCATATGTGGGTCCCTGCACATTCCTGTGACCCTGTGCCCAAATCCCTGCTCATGTCCGTGTCCCCATACACAGGTTATCCCTGTGACACCACACCCAGGTTCCTGCTTGTCCCCATGCTCAGATCACTGTTCATACTGTCCACAGGTCCCTGCTCATCTCTGTGATCCCATGTCCAGGTCCCTGCTTGTCCCTGTGTGTTCCTGTGTCCCCACAGCCAGGTCCCTGCATGAGCCCGTACCTGGTTCTCCACCAGCATGGCGATGTCCACGAACATATCGTGGAGCTCCTTGATGCTGCTCTCCAGGCGCACGATGTCCTTGTGCCGCCCCTCGATCTCGCTCAGCGCCTGCTTCGAGATCTGCGAGTCCATGATCTGCAGGGGCAGGGGAACGTCAGCGGGGGGGCCTGGCCCTGTGACACACCCCCATGTCCCCTGGTGTTCCCCCCCATGTCAGGGCTCACCCCCGAGGTGAAGATGGAGGGGTTCCCACTCTCCAGCATCTCCTCCAGCTCCTCGTCTGTCGTGTTCTTGCCGGCTGCAGGCACGTGAAGAGGGATGAGGACGGGCCCCGCCCAGTCTGGGATAAGGGGTGGAGTCTGTATGGCCTGGCCCCACCCACTTAACTAAACTTGGTCAAATGGGAGGGGTCTGGATGAGTTGGTTCCTCCCACTTTATGAAAGGATGTGGGGTTGATGCCCAGGCCGTGCCCACCCACCCGCGGGGCTCGGTCACGCACTGATTTCCAGCTGGCGCTGGATCCGGCCCTTGCTCCGCTCCCGGAAATCCACCTGCGCCTCGTTGTACTTGGTCATGACGTCCACGAACTTGCGGGACAGGACTGAGTGCTGGGGACAGGGACAGGGATGTGAGGATGGTGATGGGGGACTTTGGGATGGGGCACCCCAGGGCATGGTGTGACCCTGGGGGACTGGACCTGCTCCTGGGAACGAGGACATGGAACACCCCAGGCATGGCATGTCCCCATGGGCCATTTTCAGAGGACAGGAACGAGGACAGAGGTGTGTCGCTGCCCAGGGGACAAGATGAGGTGCTGGGGATGGGGACAGGAAGTCAGATCAGTGACACTCTGGGTATGGCATGTTGCTGATCCCAGGATGGACAGGACAATGAGAGCCAGGGACCCTGGATATAGCATGTCCCAGGGTGACAGGACAGAGTGTTGGGGACAGGGCAGAGGGACACAAGGCCTGGGATCACAGGGGATAGAACTGGGGAGACTTGGGGACCCCTGGACATGCCACATCACCAGCCTGTGGGAGACAGGGTGGGACCTGGGGACACTGGCTGTGGACCAGAGCTCACCTGGGACTTGCGTATCCGAAGGTCGGCGGAGGATCGTGCCTCATCCTGCTCGATGTTCCTCTCCATACCTGGAGGGGGACAGACCTCAACCCATCAGGAACCTTTCCCACTGCCAGCCCCCGTGATCCCAGGGTCCCAAGGGGACAGGGACACTCACTCTTCAGCTTGTTACGGACACTGTTGGCCATTTTCTTGATCTCTGCCGTCAGCTGCTCCAGGTCATCTTTGGTCTCTGTGGGATCATGGGTGTGAGCCACCATGGGAATGTTCCCAGGGAAGGTCCCTGTGAGCAGGGGAGGCTGTGGGGACACGGTGACAGCACTCACTCTGCTCTGGGATAGGGGCCGAGAGGATGATGCTGTAGAGCTTCTTGGCTTCCTCCACGTTCTCTGAGATCTTGTCGATGTTCTGCCGGGTCTCCTCAATCTGGGCACGCCCGGGAGGATTTTGGGGGGGTAAGGAGGCAGCCCTACACCCCCCAGCCCCACTCCCAGCCCTCCCTCACCTCCGCGAAGAACTCATCCATGAAGGCCGTGTTGTCCACGGCGATCTCCAGCTCCTCCTCGTCATCCGCATCCTGCTTCTGTTGGGACACAGCGCTCAGGGTGGACCCTCTGCCCTGCCAGAGTCCCCCAGGGGCTCCCCAGGGGTGACAGGGACAGGGGGGGAGTAGCCATGGGGATGTGGTAGCACAGGGGGGGACATCTGCAGCAGGGGACAGCCGGGGGGGGCTGAGCACAGCTCACATCTGGCCACACGTGGCTGGGAATTAAGGGATTGCTGGGCTCGGCCAGAGGGAGGGAACGGGGACAGCAATGGGATGGGGATGGGACAGGGTTTATGTCCCAGACCGTGGCCCCAAGGCAGGTCTGGGGCAGCCCTGGGGGGCAGGAAGGTGGCTGGTGCCCTTCACTCTGGTGTAGTGCCCAGGCCCCCACCCATGTGCGGGGGCCCACACAAATCCAGCCCTTCCCAAAACCCAGTCTCAGCCCTGCTGCCTCCCCTCAGCCCCTCAGCTCCAACAGCACCCCGGGGCTGCTGTTGGGGTGTCCTGGAGAGGGGGACAGACCCCAGGCTGAGACCCCCCCAACCCCCTCCTCCTGCTGCTGGAGTAAAAATAAAATTAATCCCTTCGCTCTCCCCTGAGGGCTTTATCTGATGGCTCCATAATCCTGGTAAATCCCTGCCAAGCCTCCCTGCCACGGCGAGGGGCCCGGCTGTGAGTTGGGGGCCTGCTGGGACCCCACCATTCGTGGCACATGATCCTGCTGGGGAGCAGGGGGAGCCCCCCAGGAGTGGGGGGAAGTGGGGCCCCACGACAGAGCGGGAAAAGGGAGAAGGAAGTGGCGCTGGTGCCAGGAACATGGGGAAGTGTGGGGTGCAGAATGGGGTGTGGGCACTCCAAATCCACTGCCATTCCCTGCGGGATGGACACCTCCCATAGGCCGGGTGTGGGCTGGTGTCTCCCCATCGCACCCCACGGCCTGGGGGGACAGGACTCAACTGGGAGGGTCACGTCACCCCAAAACACCCACCGTCCCCCCAAACAGCACGGG